CTGGGCCCTCAGGACCTCCCACTCGGCCCTCTCGGCCTCCCTCTGGGCCCTCTCCCTCTCCCTCTCGACCCTCTCGGCCTCCCTCTCGGCCTCCATCCTCTCCACAGTGGCCTGCAATATTCAATCACCAACGTTTAAACAATGCAAATGCAAGGTACATGTGTAAAAGTAATGAACGGCGAATGAAATAGAACTAACCTGGAGTGCCGCCATCTGCTGCAGTGTGCTCGCCTGCCGAGGTCGAATGGGGATAGAGGAGGTCGTGCTATGTGCTCGGATCTGGGCGAGGTTGGGCACAGAGGTCGAGTCGACCATGTTGGAGGCCATCCAGTACCGGTCGTGCTGCTTCCCTCCTCCGAGCCTCATCACGAGGTCAGTATCAAGGGGCTGGGTGGCGGGGTCGAAGTCCTCCCCATGCCACTCGCGGGCCACCGAGGCGTAGTCAGTGAGCTTGCTGTGGACGCTCGTGTTGCTGTACGCCTCGGGCCCGTCCTCCGGGTTGTAGACGGTGTCCGAGGCTGTCGCCTTGCCCTTGTGTGCCATGGCGTACGCCATGAACTCGTTGCATTCCTGGCCATCATGCGACTGGGACTACAAGGAAAACACAAAGACGATTAGAAGTAATGAGAATTGAGCGTTAGAACAAATAAATAAATAAGTGCGTAGCGTGTACCCAGGCCTGGGCGTAAGAACTGAGGGGCCGGTTGCCTTGGTGGTGCGTCGGCCCACCCATCTACAGGCGGCACTCCCGATGGAGGGCGTGCCTCTCCCTCCACTCATCGGAGACCCACTTGTCCACGATGGCCGCCCAACAGTCTCTGTGGGTGGCGCACCAAGAAGGACACATCTGCATGCCATCAAGTATTAGAAATGTTAGAATATAAAATGAAGGCTACCTATTCTTCATGGAATGAGTCAGTAACAATGTTTTATAACTTACTGCGAGGTACTGCTCCCTGGTGAGTGTCATGGTCCTGGCCTCGCTCTTCCCCGGGTACCGACCAAGGACGTCGCACGAGTGGTTGATGTGGCACTGTAGCCTCGCCTCGTAGTATAGGTCCGTGACTCGGCCCCTGCATGCCCTGTCCTGCACCTTCGTCACCCAAGCGGGGTCATGCCCCTCCTCCAACGTGAAGAAGTCCTGCATATAGACATCATGTGTCCTTTCATTATTTCAAGAACGTCTAATGAATTCATAGTATTGAGCAATGTAGTGTGATGTAGACTCACCCAGAACTCACGCCTGATCCGCTCCTGTACGGTGCCGTACATGGCGTCCATGGCTGAGTTGAAGTGGTCCCACGTCTAGGGAGGCAACTCAACCTGGGCGTGGGTGACCAAACCAGGGTAGTGCAGGAGGATCAGGCCGCCGAGGATCCCATTGCACTGTCGATGATCACCCCCGGACACAAGTTCCCAGTTACTACAGGAGTCAGTAAGAAGAATTGTTAGTCCGCTGTTTGGTTTTCAGCATATGAACAAGAAGAGATGCAAAATGAACGGATACTTACTTGTCGCCCTTGGGACGAATCACCGGCCTCCTCTAAAACAGGATCGGCCGCGCCGGGAGCTGCGAGGACCCGCGCAAGTACGGTGCCGATGAGGAGCTCGAAGTGGAACCCCCCGCCACCCCCCAGAGGAAGTGTCACCCCCCGCCACCCCCCCAGAGGAAGTGTCACCCCCTCCTGTCTGGGGGGCCAGCTGCTGGTCCTCGTCGTCAGTGGTCGTCGTCCGGTCCTCCTCGGGCGGGGGGACGGCAGACGGCTGCACTACCCTCCTCGGACGGCCGCGGGGGCGGCGGGCCGGACGGCTCCTCGCCGACGCCTCCACCTCTGCCTCCACCTCCGCCTCCTGAGTCGTCCTCGCATAGAGCAAGTTGCAGGTCCGGGTCCGCCTTCCGCTCGGCATTTTGTCGAGTGCCTGCAAATACAAAGAGTAAACCAGTTAGCACAATATAAACAAATATAGAGATGCAAAATGAACGAAACATAACTAGAAAATAATAATAATATAGTATTACATGAATTAGAAATAATCTTCAGGATCGGCAGCGGCCGGATCATAAGTGTCGTCATCACTATCAATATTGTCTAACATTTCCGCCTCATCTCCATCGTTGTCATCAATGGCAACGCCAAACCGTAATCGCTCAAGCAGTGCTAAGTCTTTGGCATTTTGCACCTCTTCTCTAATACGATCGGCTTCACCATGGTGGATCCAGTGGGTATAGTTTGCCGTGAATCCATACTTGATAAGATCTTCCCCCACGAGCCTCTTAATTTTTCTTTTCTTGTTGCCACATCTGCTGCACGGACACGGCATTTGGGCTAACCCTTTAGCAGCCTCGCCAAATGCATGCTCCAGGAAAGCATTGGTCTTGGTCATCCATTCTGGGGTCATACTTGCGTGGCCCGTGTACATCCACTCACGGTTATCCATCCTCTGGCACATGCATATGTAAGCGAGTAATAAAAACTACAGGTAAATCCACAAGGCGTTCCTACTATACATCTAATAGGTGAAGGATAGGTCCTAATCCCACCCAAGAATGCGTAGATGAGGTTGGCTTCCATGGTCCGCTCCTATCTAAGATAGAATTTCGGCAGCACCTCCCCGCTGTTCTCCCGATACACGTCCTGGCAGGGAGATTGTGTATCAGGAGAACAACGAGGAGGTGGTGCTGAAACTCTATCTCGGACAGGAGCGGGCCACGGAAACCAACCCATCTACGCATCCGTGGGCTGTCCAAAAAATGTGGACAATCCGAAACAGGTACGGAATTTGGTATGCAAAGATCTGCATACCAACGACCGTATCTCTTTCGGATGGGAGACGCCTAACTGGGGTTACACGAGATACAAGTATGGAAGATGGGTTATACCTAGGGTGTCGGTGAGGTCAGGCTAGTGGGGCGGTGCGAGTCGCTGCAGTGGCGAGGTGACGCGGTGCAGGCAGAACCGCAACGCCGACGAAGACGATCGGGGTCGCCGAGTGCCTCCCAACGGTCCTCGTCCTGCAAAGAAAAGGCAAATGGTTAGACTCCATTGAAAATTTCGGTAGCACCTCCCCTGCACGGAGAGGTTCCCAAAACCTGCAGAAAACATTGGCACGAAGGCCAACAACCACATGTATACCAAACATAGGCACGAAGGCCATCAACCACATACATACAACAATAACTACTACTAACACTAAAACTATGAACAACAACTACAACTACTACTGTCACTACGACTTACTAACTAATACTAACACTACTAATTAACTACTACTACTACTAACACTACTACTTACTAACTAATACTAACATTAGGGCATACCTTGCCAGCGAGAATGCGAAGACTGAGGGCCGGCGACGACAACGGGGACGACCGCTATGGCGTGAGGGTCGACGAACCGAGGCGGCACCTTTCTTCTCCTCTCTTCTCCTCTTCTCCCCTTCTCCTTCTCTCCTCCCCTCCTCCTCTCTTCTCCCCTGCCTCCTTCTCCTCCCTTCTCCTTCCTCTCCTCCTCCTCCTCCCTTCTCTTTCTTCTTCTTCCTCCTCCCCTTCTTCTCCTTCCTCCTTTCCTTCCTCCTCTTCCTCCTACCTCCTCCTCCTTCCTACTGCGGGCGCGGGGCCGAGGCGCGCGGGCGCACGGGGAGCCGGCGGCGGCTCCGGCGGTGGCGGCGCAGCGGCTACGGCGCGGCGGCGGGGCGGGCGCACGCGCGTGTGTGTGCATGTGTGGTGTGTGCGTGGTGTGTGCATGGTGTGTGTGCGTGTGTCCGTTTTTTTTTATATTTCAAACCTCTTTGCCGAGTGCCAGATCCGGGGCACTCGGCAAAGAAAGTATTTTGCCGAGTGCCCCCGATCTGGTACTCGGCGAAATAAAAAATTAAAAAAAAATCCTGTCCTGGCTTTGCCGAGAGCCTAGGGCTAGCACTCGGCAAAATATTCACTTTGCCGAGTGCCAAACCTTGGCACTCGGCAAAATAATTTTTGTTTTTGTTTTTTGTCACCAACTTTTTTTCTTAGATTTGTATTTGTACCATAAACAACATGTTCAAATTTGGAACAATTTCATTGCTGTTTGCTATATTTCTTCACTTTATTTTGTTTTCTTGCAATTTTCCGGAAAATGTAGGTTTGAACTGCAGGTGCATCGAATAATAGGTTTGATCCATTCCAAAAATGTTATTCTTGTTTGTTAGTGTCACTCTATGCTAAATCTAGGAACTGTCTCCAAATTTCGATCAACGTGCTCACGGGGCAACGTCGCGAACTTGCGTGCGAGTGGTTATTTAATTCTATAAAATTCAAACGAATCCCGAAAATCATGAAACTTGGCGAGATGTCGTGATATCACATGCATATGCGGTGGTAAAAATTTAAAAACGTTTGGAGGACGTCATCATGTATGGTGTTCACAAACCAGGACATCATCACATGTGATAAGATCTTGCCAAGTGCCAAACAGAAGGCACTCGGCAAAGCCAATATTTTGCCGAGTGCTAACCCTAGGCACTCGGCAAAGCCAATATTTTGCCAAGTGCCAAACAGAAGGCACTCGGCAAAGAGAACGGCGTTGGTTACCGTTGTCCCCGGGCGCCTCTTTGCCGAGTGCCCAACTTTGCCGAGTGTCTGGCATTGGGCAAAGTTTGGCTTTGCCGAGTGCCTTATTTTGCCGAATGCCAGACACTCGGCAAAGCCCTATTTGCCGAGTGCCAAGTTTCGCCGAGTGCGGCACTCGGCAAAGGTGTCCTTTGCCGAGTGCCCGATATTTGGCACTCGGCAAAGATTTGAGCACTCGGCAAAGTCCCGGTTTCCTGTAGTGTCAATCATCCTCCCCTCTATCCTTTGTCTTTTTACCAAAAAAAAATTGAGTCTTTTAAACTTAACATCACCTAAAATAACCAGCTAGTTATTATTGGCTAGGACTCAAATTCAAATATTAATTCTTGGAGCCAAATGAAGAATTTGGAAGCAGAAAGAAAAGAAAAAAAAAGGTTTAGGTCTGTTTCGTTAGTTACCAGTGGCTTGACTGTCTATCGCAGCGGCGTGTTGTTGCAGAAGCAGCGCCGTGACCTCGGCCATCCTCCCTTTGTAGACGGCGAGATAGAGAGAAGAGCACATGTTGCCGACGACCATGCGCTCATGGTCACATTGCGGCGGCTGCTGCATCAGCGGCGGCGTTGCCATCGCAGGCGAGCCGGCAGGCGAAGCACCGGCGGCAAGCTGGATGGACTGCTGCTGAGGATCCATCCGGCCTGTGAAAGCGGTTGGCAGCTCGCTGCGCCAGGCGAGAGTGGGAGGTATATATGTGGTCTTTCTTGCGGAATGGTCTTTCTTAAGTACTAGTCTGCTTAGCTTAGGTTCATTCATGGATGCTGCGCGTACGCCAAGTCCGTCGCCGTCGCCACACCGTACCGCGCGTGGCAGCCAAGTTACTGCATGGTCAATAAGTACTAGTCTGCTTAGCACTGATGATAGATGTTATTCCTGATAGATGCGTGCACCACAACTACAAGCACTGATGATAGATGCGCGCACCACAACTACACACCGCCATGCGTGCACCACAACTACAAGCACTGATGATAGATGCGTGCACCACAACTACACACGGCCATGAGTGATAGATGTTATTCCTGAAGCTACATGTATGCAGGTCGATCGGATAGGAAGTGATTGTGACAATCAAAATTGTCCAGCACGGATGATGATTTGGGAAAACTGGCCTGGTAATTGAGGCCGGTTTGGATAACTTTATCAAATTTCAAAAGAATTTCGTTATTACATTTCTCTTGTCGAGATGATTTAGATATATAAATAAAACACTTAATTTAGAGTCTGAATGAGAGAGCCACAACTTCGGAAGTATCGATCCAAGCCTCCAAAACCGACCATAACCCAAGTTAGGAGTTGTATGTTGGCATGGAATTTATTTGAGTTTCGACTCCTATAAGGAGTTTCAACTCCTATAAGGACAAGCCACGTTAGATTGAGAAGAATCACTATAACAAAATGGATTTTTGGAGATAGCCTCATTTATTTACAAAAGGAGGTCCAAAATTATCCAAGTCTCCTAAAATACTTAGTGAACTTCAAAGGCAGCGGTTGTTCTATTTTGGGAGATAGTTCACCTCTGTAATTTTATATTTACAGAGACCACCTTGTTGAGGAAGGGGAACAGCCCACTTCTGCAAATCAAAAATCCCCATTTCAGAAAAAAAAATATAGTAGTGAATATTACTTTTTAACATATTTTCTTCTTTGGCCTATTTTCAACCCCAACTTATAGTTCACACTCTGACCCGATGGCCAGAGATGGCATTCTAGACTTATCGGGAAACCTAGGGCGGCAACCCGCCGATGTTGACACCATAACGAGGTCACTCCCAGGTGAGAGTTCTGATAGTTTCTTTGCAAGTTTGCTAAAAAAACTAGCCATTCATTGTCACTTAAACGCAATAGGGGTATCCTTTTCTAATTTGCTCGTAAACCTTATAACTGCTCTTCACCAAGTAAGTATGATACTTACCATTCTTTAGCAAAACCCCTAGGAAACCGGCCTGACCAGTTTAAGTTTCTGCGCAGTCTGGAATCTGGAACAGTTTCGGTTGTGTTCTGTTTTTTGAGTAAACCAACTATAGAATCTGGGCATATGGTCTGAATAAAACTTGTAGATAATTTCTTAAGCTTTCCAACCATGTAAAGCACGCCTATTTGGATGTCTGGAACTCAAGATATGACTGTTTTACCGAGCTGCTGATGTTGGAACTCGTCTAGAAATTTTTTGGAATGTATTCTATATCTCTATAAGTGCATATGACTTGGAAATCTCTAAATTTTGAATATTTATGTTGGATGTCAGATGTCTGGAAGAGGAAGAGGCTGAGGTCATGGAGGTGTTCCCCCACATCCACCACCACCACCTACTATTGAGCATCTTCTGGCAGTGCAGAAATAGCTTTGCAAGCTCTGGTGCAGAATCAGCAGAACCAACCCATTGGTGGAGCACTGTGTGACAAGTGTGGTGAATTCTTGAAGGGCTACCCTCCGGTGTTTTCTCATGCCACTGATCCACTGGAAGCAGATGATTGGCTTTGTGCAGTGGAAAAGCAACTCAACATAGTGCAGTGCGATGACCAGAAGAAGGTGTTGTACGCTTTAGGACAACTTCAGGGAGAAGCTCAAAACTAGTGGGAGGCATTCGAGTATGGATGTTCCACTAATGCTTCTCCTATCACCTAGTAGGAATTTAGAGAGAATTTTAGATCCTACCACATTCCTGAAGGATTGATAGAGCTCAAGCAGGAGGAATTCAGAGCTCTGAAACATGGATCTATGTTTGTAACTGAGTATCGTGACAAATTTGCTCAGTTGTTACGTTACGCTCCGAATAAGGTGGCTGATGATGCTGATAAGCAACGCCACTTTCTCAAGGGTCTGTATGATGGTCTACAACTCCAGCTTATGTCCAATACATACCCCAATTTCCATACGCTGGTGAACTGCGCTATTGTTATTGACAATAAGCACAAAAAGATGGAGGCTAAGAAGAGGAGGCTTTAGGGACAAGCCTCTGGAAGCAATACTCGTCCGTGCACCAATCCTCAGCAAGGCTTTCAATAGAGGTACCATGGACCACCTAATCAATGGAATCGCAACCAGAACCAGCAACGTCCACCATACCAGCAGTAGAATGGCAATCAACGTCCCCAGCAGCAGAGTGGCTAGCAGACACCACGACAGGGACACACCTAACAACACTCACATGAAGACCAGTGCCCCTAGTGCTCCCAACAAGTGTTTCCGCTATAGTAAAGAGGGTCACATGTCTTATAACTGCCCTGAGAAGCCAAACCAGCAAACCCCCTAGAGGCAGAATAGCAACCAGAAGCCACTGCATTATGGGAAGGTGAATCATGTGTCTACAAAGACAGCGCTTGCTGAGCCAAAAGTCATGCTCGGTACATTTGATGTTAATTCCACTCCTGCCACTGTTCTTTTTTATTCTAGAGCTTCTCATTCATTCATATCACAAGCATTTGTTAGAAATCATAGCATACCTTTATGTGCCATAAAAAACCCCATACTAGTAAATTCACCGGGAGGGAGTATGCCAGCTTTTTACCGTTGTCTCCCGACTAGTCTATCCTTAAGGGGGGTAGAGTTTCAAGTGACCCCCATTGTGTTGACAACAGCGGGAATTGATCTTATTTTGGGTATGGATTGGATGAAGCAACAACAAGTAGTGATTCAGTGTAAAGAAAAGGCAGTAGCTTTGACAACACCTAAGGGAGATAGAATCAGTGTTGAGGTTGCAGTGCAAGCACAACCGATAGCCACGGTGAACCAGCTTGATGATCACGTCAACAAAGAGGACCTAGTGGTGGATGAGTTTCCATATGTGTTTCCCGATGACTTGTCAAGCATGCCATCTGACCGTGACATTGAGTTTATTATTAAATTATTACCTAGAACTGCACCTATAGCTAAGCGTCCATATAGAATGGGGGTTAATGAACTAGAGGAACTTAGGAAACAAATAAAGGAGTTGTAGGAGAAAGGTTTCATTCATCCGAGTTCATCACCTTGGGGAGCACCGGTTATATTCATTGACAAGAAGGATGGTACCTAGAGGATGTGTGTGGATTATCGGTCCCTAAATGAGGTTACTATCAGGAACAATTATCCATTGCCTAGAATTGATGACTTGTTTGATCAGTTGAGAGGTGCTTGTGTTTTCTCTAAGATTGATCTTTGTTTTGGTTATCATCAACTGAAGATTCATGCAACTGACATACGTAAGACAACCTTTACTACGAGGTATGGGTTGTATGAGTACACCATTATGTTCTTTGGTTTGACCAATGCACCTACCTACTTTATGTACTTGATGAATAAGGTGTTCATGGAGTTTTTGGATAAGTTTATGGTGGTATTTATCGATGATATATTGGTATTCTCCAAAACAGAAGAAGAGCACGCTGAACATTTAAGGTTGGTCTTGTAGAAGCTCAGGGAACACAAGTTGTATGCTAAGCGAAGCAAGTGTGAGTTTTGGTTGAGGAAGTTTCTTTCCCAGGCCATGTTGTCTCTAATGGTAGAATAGCAGCAGATCCAAGCAAGGTGAGAGATGTTTTGAATTGAAAACCATCGACTGATGTGAGAGAGATTCATAGTTTCTTGGGATTGATTGGATACTACAGAAGGTTTATAGAAGGGTTTTATAAGCTTGCTAAGCCTATGCCAGCTCTGTTGGAGAGGAATGCTAAGTTTGTGTGGTCTAAAAAGTGTCAGGCTAACTTTGAAGAATTGAAGAATATTTTGACTACCGCCCCAGTATTGGTTTTGCTAGATTTGAGCAAGAACTTTTCTATCTATTGTGATGCATCTCATCAAGGTCTCGGATGTGTTCTTATGCAAGAAGGAAGACTAGTGGCCTATACATCCCGACAGTTGAGAAAGCATGAGATAAACTATCCTACTTATGATTTGGAGTTAGTAGCAGTGGTTCATGCTTTAAAAATATGGAGACACTATCTTATTGGGTATAAGAGTGATATCTATACCGATCATAAGAGTTTGAAGTACATATTCACCTAGACAGATCTGAACTTGAGGCAGCGTCGATGGTTAGAGTTGATTAAAGATTATGATCTGGAGGTACACTATCATCCTAGAAAGGCAAATGTTGTTGCCGATGCTCTTAGCAGGAAGAGTTACGCCAAGGAGGTGCAAGTGGCAGCTAGGCCAAGTGAGTTGTGTACTGAATTTGAGCAACTGAACTTGATCTTTGTCACTAATACAGTGGAGTTAGTGATAGAACTCACACTGGAGCAAGAAATACGTAAGGGCCAGTTATAGGATGTGAAGTTGAAAGAGATAGCGGAGAACATAGTGTCGGCGCAAAAACATGTTGATGCACCGAGCACAGCAAGCCAGAAGGATCTGCTTGATGGAGCAAGGCTGGAGATCCGCTTGGTTTCAACGCAGGACCAGTCGACCCTGTGAATTCCTCCCAAGGGCGTGCCAGTCAATTTGACATGCAATTGACAAGGAGAGAAAGTTTATCAGTAATTTAAGGTGAAACATGTCGGTCTTGCCTAGACAGTTCCAAGTGTGCCACTTCGAGAGCAGCCAGTGTTAGCCCACTGGATCTTCAGCACGGAGATGTTCGACCACTCACTAAT